CGCTAGAGCTCGATCAGCATTTGTCAATCTGAGGCACTTGTGGCGTCGTCGTGACGTCTCATTCTCACTAAAGGGCTGCATTTACAGCGCATCAGTTCGCTCAGTATTGTTGTATGGGTGCGAGTCCTGGCCGATTCGCCTGGAAGACATGCGTCGTCTATCTGCATTCGATAACGGTTGCTTAAGGAGGATCGCTCGTGTTTGGTGGCAACCTCGAGTTAATAGTAATGACGTTCGACGTCGCATCTTGGGGAATGCAATTATTTCCTTCAACAAACTGGTTTTGTTGCGCCAGTTAAGATGGCTCGGTCATGTCCTACGCATGGCACCTGTGCGCCTACCGCGTCGCGCTCTATTCGCTCGTCAAGGACCTGGCTGGAGGCGACCGCGTGGTGGTCAGCCTTCCACTTGGCGGCAGCACATGAAATCGCTGACGTCGTGTCTAGCGTCTGTTGGATCCGTACGTCTTCCAGGATGGGGACCCAAAGATGAGGAGTGCCAATGGCTTAGGACTCTTGAAGACATGGCCCGCAACCGGAATCAGTGGAAGAATTGTGCAGTGTTGTTTTGATTCACATGTTTAATACTACCAACATTGAAAATGACAAAAAAGAGCAAAATGGGCGTGCGAAAAACAAACTAAAATGTTTTGTTCTATTTTTTGTCAAAGTGTTCGATTCTTCTTGCGGCATATTAGCTGAAGTGTGTTGCCCACCTTCAACTAGCATGCCACGATGATTATAACGCAATGACTCTTCTATCCACTGATTTCCATGGTTTTTACTGGCTCTATCTCTAGTTACTAGACTGTTGCGATTATATATATATATATATATATATATATATATATATATATATATATATATATATATATATATATATATATATATAATGTGCCCCATGCTGAGGCTGATGTTGCATTCTTGATGCTTCTTCACCGCAGTTGGGCTAAACCAACTTACACTTAAACTAGGTCTCTTTAAGCTGCATAAATTTTATTCCAGTTTATTTGGTTTGTTTTGCCTATCTGGATAGTCTTCTATTAGCTGGCCACGTTGTTTACGCTAATTGCGCTTATCTTCGGTAATTTTGTTGCGTTTGTAGCATTTTTGAGTAACTTGTGGACATTCTTTTTCCTTATCGCGGATTCATTGCTAACCAAATTACTTCATATGCTAATTTAGCGAAGAGTTATGCCACCGTATCTGTATGTATTATTGGATTTATTTTATTTTATTTTGTCGTTTCAAGTGATTGGCTGTTGCTTGATATCCCCGATGTAGCTGCGCTTGATGTGCATGTTGACAAGGTGCCTACCTGTCTATTACCCACAACCTCGTCCATACTGGCTCCAGGAGACAGTTGGTCGTTGCTGGAGGGGACGGGGTGCGCGGTCCTTGTGGCCATGCTAGGCTCGAAGAGTGGTTCCGTGCACTCAGTGTGGAGCGGACTACGGTCCAGCAACTGCATTGTGTGCGCTTGATTCCCCAAATACAGTGTGCTTGTGTTTGCCTGTGAAGGAGTGTGGGCCGGCTCCGTTGATGAAACGTGGCTCCCATCCACATGCCTCCCGGTCTTATTCCTTCGGGTTTACACTGGATATGGGGTGTGTGGTTGGAGCTGTGGGTGATGCAGCGCAAGCCACTCATGGTCCCTCTGTAGGCGCAGGCGTCCTGTGGTTGGCCACAGTGACAGGCAAATCCGAAACCGGATGCCGCCAACCATATATATATATATATATATATATATATATATATATATATATATATATATAATGAAAACAAGTATCAGCTAGTAACAAATAACCTTGATTGGTAACAAGTGAACAGGTAGAGTGTGAATGAGGTGAGCAAGTAGCAGAAGCTAAGGCAACTGAACGCGTCATAACATATGTACAATACATGGTTTTGTCAGTAGACGTGATACTACCCGGTTGCCCAATCCGAAGTTGGGAGTTGTCTTGGCTAAGCAGCCTGGCCGTAAAGCAGCGGAGCGAATTCACGGAATCGCGCCCATTGGGAGTCGGTGATTGACTGTTCAGTTCCTACGCTTTTCGTTTAGATGCTTGCCATACAGGGGCCCAATCCTCCCCATGAAATCAGCACACTTCCTGGAACACAATGCCCCACCGAAGTGAAGCAAAGGGCAGTGACTTAAGTTGGAAGCAAGTCACATCCGCCACGTCGCAGTGTTGTTAAACAGACATTTGTGGGTTTTTATAGGGCGAACGCTTGCCAGGCGAAAATCCATCACCACCTGGAACACTGCCGCCGAACACTTTACTAGAACGGGATACACCCGTAGCACCCAGCTGACATCACGAGTAGTTCGGCAGGTCAGCCATCTCAAAGTACACTGCCATTCTGCGCGCACTGTACCTCCACATCTCTGGCAGTGAGGGTCTGTGGCAAGCTTTCGTCGTCGTTCGCTGTCAAAAGCGCTGTACGACAGGGCTGCCCTATGTCCCTTTTTGCAATTGAAGACGTACTGTTGAGAGCTCTGGACGGTTGTCAAAATTTTGGTCTGCGACTACTACTGTGTTAGCAAGCGATCTATGTTGATTATGCCGAGGACATCGCCTTTCTTTGCAGCGACTCACAGAGCGTGCAAACATTCTAAACCATTTGGCGATTGAAGCACCTAAGTACGAAATGTGCTTCGCCCGTTCCCTTGCTCACTATTGAAGATACACCGCTTGACTAAGTGAGTAGCTTTGTTTACCTAGGCAGCTTCGTGTCTACTGATGGCACTATGAGCAACTAGTTTCCCTCCGTATCGCCAAAGCTCTGTCAGCCTTCTTCAGCCTGATGCACTTGTGGCGTTGTCGGAATGTCCCCCACTTGGTAAAGAGTTGCATTTACAGTGCCATCGTTCAGGCGGTGTTATTATATGGAAGCGAGTCATGGCCAGTTCGTGTAGTTAACCTGTGCTTGCTCTCGGCCTTCGACAATGGGTGCATGAGGATGTTTGCTGTTGTATGGTGGCAGCAAAGTGTCTGCATCAGTGACGTCAGACGTCGTGTCTTAGAGGATGCGAGTCAGTTAAGATTTCTAGATCACGTCCTGCGTATGTCAGCTAAGCGCTTGTTTGATCGTACCCTTTTCGCTCGTGAAACACCTGGTTGGAAGAGACCGCGTGGCCGTCAGCCATCCACTATAGCGACGGCATATGAAATCGTTGACTTCACATCTTGCTGCCGTTGGATTCACACGTCTGCCTGGTTGTGGACTAAAGGACTAGGAGTGTTGATTGTTGGAAACAATTCTGAATACCATGCGCAATTGAAACCAGTGTAGGATCTGTGTAAATACTTGTTTTGGTTCAGTTGCCTAAAGACAAAAAATGTCGTGTGTGAAAATGACAAAAATAAGTTCCGTTCTACTTGTTGCTGAGCATATGAAGTGTGTTGCCCATCTTCAGCTACTGTGCCATGTTGATGATGTAGTGATTAAACCTGTGATTTCTATGGTTTTTGTATGGATCCATGTCTGTTCGTTAGACGGCTGCTAAACTGCTACTACTACTGTGCCCGGTGGCCGAGTGGTCTACACGCTTGGCTTGCAATCATAAAGTCACCGTTTCGAATCTGCCTAGGGACGGGCGTCCTCACGGTATACTCAGCCCACTCGCGACTGATGGTGGTCTCGAGGCAACGAAGCGCCGTTGTACCGTACACCTGACGATTACTACTGTGTCCATCTGCACCTGTCGCCTGGATACCAGATGTTCCTGTACACCATGCAGTAGGCTTATTTCGTGCGCTTGTGAGACAGTGATATT